GGCGCGCCCGCAGCATGCCGCCTGAAGCGGTGGGGGAGCGGCGGCTTCAGGCCTTCGAGTCTGAGGGCCGCGAGCAGGGCCCCTGCCCTAAAGGGGGGTGTGGCGCGGGGACAGCGGGCGTGCGGGCGCCCGCGAGCTGACACACTCGGGCTTCTCTTGCAGACGCAGACTGTACAGCTGAGCAAAGAAATGACGCTCGCCAGCAACCGGAGCCTGGCGGAGGGGAACCTCCTCTTTCAGCCGCAGCTGGACACCCGGAAGGCGCGCTTGACCCAGAAGTACCAGGAGCTGCAGGGCCTCTTCGAGGCCTACCAGATAAAGAAGACCAAGCTAGGTAACCCGGGGTCTTCTGAGAACGGCGAGGAAGGACAGCTTTGCAGGCTGTTGCCTTACTAGGAAAGGGGTATTATGGGGACACTTCAGGTGAAGACAGTGGCTCTATGCAGCAGCACCGTAATGTGTAAAATGTTTGCTGGTTTAGAAAAGAGACCACTTTTTACATTCGGGAGTCTTATCTTTTCAGAATAATAAGACACTTTTCCGAGTTACGCTGTGTGTAGTCCTCAAAGTTAATGATGTATTTATCACCGGAACGTTTATTGTTACTTCCTTCACGGTTGTACAGAGGTGTAGGAATTGAGTTGTTGAAAGTCCAGAGTGCTTTTGAGAGCCTTTAAAGGAAGATATTTTTCTGAGACACGGTTTCCCGATGCAGCTTAGGTTGGCCTTAAACACACTGTGTAGCCAGGGAGGCCTGCCTCCGCCTCGGGAGTGCTGGAATTATGGATATGCCCCACCTTGCCCTAGCCGGAAGAAGACGATGATGATGATTTGTGGTTTTAGAACTGCACCCAAGGCCTCACACATGGTAGGCAAGCACTCTTCTCTTTAGCTGGATTTCTAGCCTTTCAAGGGGGCATTTATTAGAATATAGGTGAGATCCAGCCCTTCCGTGAGGCTGCAGCCATGTCTTAGGTTTGCTGCACCATCACCCCCGGTTGTCTCCATAACTTCAGTGAAAATGTGTCACACACCCCACCCAGGTAGGAGAAGAGGGAAAGACTGGCAGCACCGAGAGGCGGATGTTTACACACCCACTGCTGGTAGGAACAGAAACTAGTAAAACCACCTTGGAAAAGTAGTTTGGCGATGCATACTGAAATGACCACATATACCCTGTGATTCTACAGTTTGTGCCTGAGTATCTGCCCCACAGAAATGGATGTTACGTCTGTAGGAAGATATGCACAAAGATGTGAGCGGAGCACGATGGTGCACACCTGTAATCCTAGCACTATGGGAGGCTGAGACAGGAGGATTGCAAATTCAAGCTCAGCCAGAATAATGTAGTGATTTAGACCTTCTCTCAGAATTGAAAAGCGTTGGGGTATAGCTCCATGTTTAATCCTCGGTACTGCAAGATCTGTACCGGGTGTGGTAATGCACACCTGTGATCCCAGCACGCTGGAGGCTGAGGCAGGATTACGGAATTCGAGGCCAGGTAGAACTAGATAAGTGAGCCCATCACACACACAAAAACCCGGAATGGGTGCTGCAGCTTTATTTGTCAGAGCTAACTCTGGAAGCAGCCATGAGGAGCGGTGGGTAAGTCGCGCTGCGTACTTGGAGGGACGGACGCAGCTCGGAGTGAGTGGGGTCCAGGTGAGGTCTGAGAGAGGAGCTGGGCAGGGTACAAGGTGCGGCTGCGGGCCAGGCGGGCCTCGCCGGTGGTGGTGGCTGGGGGGCCGGCATGGGGTCCCAGGGGTAGGCACAGGGGATCCTCTGGGAAAGTCCTCTCTCCACCTGGGCAGGGGCGGGGCTTCACGTGCTTGGAACTTTTGAGATCGTGTGTGTGTGTGTGTGTGTGATGTGACTCAGAATGGGGATACACAGCCACGTGACAGCCTCCCGTCACGTGTGTGAAAACAGCCCATGCCGCGGGGCACACGCGGGCCTCCGTGCGCTCGTGCTTGTGCTGGGCTTCGGTCTGTGCAGGGGCGCCGGCTGCGCACCTCCTTTCCGGTGGCGAATCTAAGGCTGCTCCTTTCTGCTCCCAGAAGCCAGCCCTCGGCAGATGCACCGCTGCCGCCTCTGTGGGGGCGGGCGGGCGTCTGGTGGGGTGCAGCCCGCCTCATGCTGCTGCTTCTTCCAGATAAGCAGTCCAACAGTGCTTCCTTGGAGACACTCCTGGCGCTTCTTCAAGCAGAAGGGGCCAAGATTGAGGAGGACACTGAGGTACGGTCAGCCAGCGTCCTAGGAGGCTCAGGACCTTTCCAGGTTTGGGGTCCCTCTGGGCGGTCAGCAGGCAGCAGTTGGGGGTTACGGCTGCCTTAGCTGGCCCTGGAGTCGGCACCAGCCTCGTGGGCGCCAGGACCCAGCCTGCCATCTGCTGTGGGCTGTGAGTCAGCCGGTGGCCAGAGAGCCATGTGGACATGGCTAGCTGGGTGCTTGGTGAGCCTGCGGCGGACAAGGGGTGAGTCAGGCTTGAACACTGCTCATTAGAGCGAGCTGGAGCTGGCAGCGTGCGCCAGGGTCTGCACTGCTCTGTGGCCGTTAGGCCTTGGTGGGGCCCAGGTGGGCCCAGTGAGGTGGTTCGACCGGGCCAGGGCGGGTCTGCGGTCAGGGTGCGGCCAGGTGGAGAGCCAGGAGTGTGAGCTCCGGCTGCCTAGCTGGAGACGGCCAGGCCTGGGGCAGCAGTCACATCTCTGGCGGGGGAGCCGTGTCTCAGGGCCTCCCTTGCCTCGTAAGGCTGGGTCCCCCGGGGCCTGTGGTCCGTGCTGAGGTTCAGGAGGCAGCGCTGCAGCGTGCCGCGCACCCCACCTCCCGCGGTTCCGCCTGGGGGTGGCCCTGCCACTGTTGGCCCAAGCCAGAGTGGGGGGCGGGGGTGTGCCGGAAGGAGGTGCCCCCGCCGGTGGGGGGCGCTCGCCGGCAGCCGGCCTGTCGGTGACGGGGTTTCCGCTGCCTCACTCAGAACATGGCCGAGAAGTTCCTGGACGGCGAGCTCCCGCTGGACACCTTCATCGATGTCTACCAGAGCAAGAGGAAGCTGGCCCACACGCGGCGCGTGAAGGTGGAGAAGCTCCAGGAGATGGTGCTCAAGGGGCAGAGACTCCCGCAGGCCCCGGCACCGCTGCCGCCCAGGGCGCCCGAGTCCGTGCCCGCCGCCCCGGCACCCTACCCGGCCCCGGAAGC